TACCTTGTTTATACATATTTTAAAAAATTTATCTTTCTCTTTTCACCTGAGAAAAGAGAAAGCTACATTTATAAGCTACATTTCTTAATTATATTCTTTAGGGATAACCCTTATTTAAAAAATTAGTAGCCTTTTAATTTTAGAATACTTACAGAATCCAGAGAAGTTGAAAAATAGTACAAGGGATTCCCATGGACTCCACACTCAGTTATTGTTATTATTAACATCTTACGCTGGTATAATTTTGTCACAATTAATGAACCAATAATAGTATGTGATTATTTTTAACATTCAAATTTACTAAGATTTCAGTAGTTTTCCCCCTTTATTCATCCCAGTGTTTTAATCTAGGACTGCATTTATGGATATTTACTTACTTACAGAACTGTGAATTGAACCCATGGAACTCCATCCCCAGCCTTTTAACATTTTTATTGTAAGGAACGTCTCTCAATATGTGCTTTGTGCTGGTCTCAAACTTGTGTTCCTTCTGCTTTAACTGCTGAAGGTACTATTTATTCTTTTTTTAAATTTATGTATTTGGTATAGCTTAGACTCATAGTGATCCTCCTGTTTTCAGCCTCCCCAGCACTGGGATTACAGGCATGTGCCACAACACCCAGACTGCATTTATTTCTTATATTTATAAATCCATTTATTTTCCAGCAATATTTGGTAGCTTTCTGTTGTATAAGAAAATTAACACACTTTAATTAATTGCCCTTTGATTTTTTACCCCAACTTATTAGTTAGTAGTATGACAATTTTGGCTCCAATTTTTTTTTTTTCACTACAATCTGGGCAAGAACACTCAATAGGAAATGGGAGGTCTCCTTGGAGTAGCAGGAATGGATATCTTAAGATTATAGCACCATGCATGGCCTGTGCCACTTGAATAGAAACACACAGAAATTTATATTCTAACATTGCAGAATGATGCAAAAATAAACAAATAAATAAAAGCATACCTTCAGCCCTGAACAATAGCAAGGGAAATAAACTGTGTAGTAATCATTTGTCCTTTCAGTGTCAGCGGTTCTAGCCCTAGCTGCCTGTTTTGAGGAGTGTGAAAACAGAATCATCATGAGGCGCAGTAAATAACCCCAGCAGGGCTTAATTGTTTTTAAATTGCAATTATAGCTAATTAAATGCTAAGATGGAAACAGCTGTACAAGAATATTTAACAGATCTCTTGGTGTCCTCATTTTTTTCATGTTACTTTTTAAAAGTTGGCTTATGTATATATACAGGATAGCTTGAATAATTTACTGCTGATTTATGCTGGTCTATTGAAATAAACAGCTAATGCTCAGATTTTCTCTCTGTTTTCTAATTTTTGTTACTTTTTCCTCTCTTTAAATTTTGTTACAATTTTTCATGCTTACATCTGGAAATCTGAACAAGTAATTTGAAGACAACAATATATACTATAATAATCACTGTTGAATTTGTATTATTTTGTTTAGTGAAATTCTGTATTGTTTATACTTTTTTATTTTAAAGAGAAGAAAACAAAGTCAAATAACAAGAACAAAGACAAGAAACAAAGCAACACAGAATAATAAAAATAGTGCAGAACTTCAAAACAAGAACACAAAATTAATACAAGTTTTTGAAGATAGCAGTTAATGTTTAAAATACTTTGACCAGGGGCCAGAGAGATGGCTCAGTAGAACAAGGGCTTCCCTGGCAAGCGCAAGAGTCTTGAGTTCAATCCCTGGTTACACAATAAAATAAAATAAAATAAAATAAAATAAAATAAAATAAAATAAAATAAAATAAAATAAAATATTTTGACCAACTCTATATGCTATATCTATAATATGAGCAACTTCCCTGAGGATGGCAATGTGCAGTATAATAGCCATGGTTGGATGGATAGCTTTTGTATTGAATACCTTTTAAATGTGTATTGTCTCTAATGTCTCATCTATTTTTTTTTATAGTCTCTTTAAAATAAATTTAAAAAAGTAAAACAGAAAAAGGAAAAGGAAAAAAAATTAAGGTTTAGTGAAAGGAAGAGTTAATATTTAATTGCTTGATCAATCTGCCTGCCTATATCTGGTAATCAGAGCAACAAATTTGGTGATAATATATAACAACCTACTTTACTTTTCTTTTACTATTTTTTTTATTATCTTTAAAAAATAAAAAATAGGGGCTAGCAAGATAACTCAGGGGTCTAAAGTACCTGCTTAGGCAAGTTTAGGTAGGTGCAGGGGACTGCGGTTTGATCCCTGGCACTACCTGCTGCACCAGCCCCACCCTCAGGTGGCTCAGGCTGAGCCACCACCCCATAAAATAACTAAAAATAAATAAGTAAACAAAATGCTAATGACCTATTTGGGATGGTATAATAAAAAAATAAAAAGTAAAAAGTTAGCTTATCGAGACACATAGTGAGTGGTTATTTTATGTTTCATCTAAGAAACTAGGAAACCAACCTGAAAATTGGCAAAGAAAGAATTCTTCAGTCTTTCTGTCTAAGCCACTCATTGTTGGTCACTTCAGCCAGTGGACAACCAGTGTACACCGTGACTTGTGCACATTATATAGTGTGGCAGGAGGTCAGTGAGCACCACAAGATGAGGTGACATCAGGTTCAAGCAGGAGGTCAGTTTTGTCAGCTGATCTCAGTTTTGAAAATTCAGTGAGATTCTTTCATTCAACACACATATATAAAGCTTCAACTGTGTACCTATCATTGGGTTAGAACCGAGACCACAGGGTAAAGCAAGTTATGATTCCCACCTTGTAGTGTGTGAGAAAGGAAGACTGATCTACTGATGGCTGTGGCCTAGTGCAAGGGACGCAGGCTCTTGCCTGAGGGACACTACTTGGTTCTGTATGGCCCAGGAGCTCAAGTGTGAATTACTTACTAATGCATAGAGAAAACAGTGATGGATATGTGCACCCAGGTTATATTAGAAATATTTATCTGTCAAGTGGGGCCCTTATTCAATCCACTAGTAAAGGACCAGCATTTTACAGAATACTCCTGGGGGCATAGGATAGGGGCTGCTAAATCTTTTTTTTTTTTTTTTTTTTCTTTTTTTTGCGGAACCAGGGATTGAACTCAGGCCCTTGCACTTGCCAGGGAAGCGCTTATTCCACTGAGGCATCTCCCCGGCCCTGGGGCTGCTAAATCTAATGAGAAGTCAGGTAAGTCGCTTCCAGAAGAGAGGATGCTATAGGAACAGATATCTAACTCCACCTCCTCTCGCCGTGCCCTCAAGTGCTCCAGATTTCATGATGGCTATCCCAATTTTTATGTTCATGCAAGAGTCAATCATTCATCTCCTGTGAACACATAGTTTCAGTTGCTCTACTTGTCTCTACACACTGATTGTTTTCTTCTTTGGCTCTTTCTCTAAAGCAGGGTTTTGTTTTTTTTAACATGAAGTCCATGGCTTGAGCTTCTAAGCTTCTGAACATTCCAAAATGTGCATTTTTTCCCCTGGGAGGTAGGTTCATGTTTTTATTTCTTTTTTTAAAAAATCAGATTCTTTCTCTAAAAGGTCCATTTTTCAAAAGTTTGAGAAACAGACTTTTAAGGAAGAGGAATTTCCTTCCTTATTTTTGAGGAATTTAATAGAGAAGTGTTATAAGAATGTTAGAAATGATTTTGAAGGTCCAGACAACAGGATTTCAAGATATTGAAGACCTACTCAACTTTAAATATCACCACAGAATTATAACTACAAGGCAACTCTTGGGAAATCTCAGATATTAATAATCCCAGAATATGTGAGGGGAAATCAACACCAAGAAAATCCCTATAGTAACAAACAATAGATTTATTATGGTTAAGATCTATTTGTTTATTTATTTATTTATTTATTTATTTATTTATTTCTGTATCTTTTAGGGAAGGGTCTATAAGGTGTGCAAGGTCTCACTACTAGATTAGACTCATAGTGATTCTCCTGTTTACAGCCTCCCAAGTGCTGAGATTACAGGCGTGCACCACCACGCCCAGTCTCAGTCTCAGTGTGCTCTGGGGGCGGTGCTGACACAGCAGGCCTGGGGATCGAACCCCTGGTCCCTATGCGTGCTTGCAGGCGCTTTAATCCACTGAGCTATTTGGCCAGCCCCAAGATCTAAAATGCACCCCCCCCCCCATCTCATGGGCTGGGAAGGTGATTTGATCATCAGGATTATTCTCATAATCATCAGTAATCACCAATAGAGTCATTTATTCTGAAGTTCAGTAGGTAAATATGCTGTTTGGAGGTCAGACTTGGGTGGAGGTGGTCACTAGGAATATGACCTAGAACAGTGCACTATTGTCCTTTTGTCATCCTTTGTTTTCTCTCTCCACTTGATGACTGCCACAGGTTGAACACCTTTACTCTACCATGTTTCTGTACTATGGCATTTCTGCTTTGAGCCTTCTGATCATGAACTAAAATCATGAGCCAGAAGAAACCATTCCTTCCCAAGGATGTGGGTCTCAGGTATTTTGTTGCAGTGATGGGAGTGTCTAATACTGAAATTGGCACCTGGAGTAGGGTAACTTCTGTGACTATATCTGACTATGTAATTCAGAAGCCTTTGGAACTCCATGTAAAAGTAGTTTGGAAAAGTTTGAAGATTTGGGCAAGAGTAGTCTTGGAGCATTCTGAGTACTTCTTGATCTGTCGTATTGATCAGAGCTCAGAAGACCAGAATGCTTATAGGAGCGAAGATAGTGAAGGCTGCGCACAGGGAGTTTCAGAGGGAAATAGAAATTTCATTAACAGAGTAGAGGTGATGTGTGTTATGCCCTGGTGGAAAAATTGTATTCATGTTTCCTATGACTTTAGACTTTGTGGAAGACTGAGACTAAGGGTGGTATACTTATTAAACTTGCAGAGGAAATTTCAAAGCTGCTCAGTGTTCAGGGTGTGGCATGGCCATTATTGATTACTTTTAGCCAGATCATCAGGAAATATCAGAGCTAAAAAGCAGAGCTCAAAATTTGAAAAATTACGGTGGTGGTAACAAGAATGGAAGCACCTCTACTTACTTGGCAGGGGAGATACCATAATCACAAACGTAGTGTTCCCAGGACAAGTTTATCCACTGTACTCTGAATGTGCTGACCTCTGTGATTTCCCCAAATGTAGGAAGCTCGACTGCGTAATTGTGTTAGTGGGGGACTGCATTCATGCTGTCGCCTGGGGTAGGGGGAAGAAGCACCTATAAAGTTGGAGCAAAGAGGAGCTTGAGTCCTGAAAAGATTAACATAAAAATGAAATAAAGTACTTTACCTTAGGACTGTAGGACAGATGGCTTGAGAGCATCTCAGGTATAGCAAGAACCCATGTTTTGCAAGCTCAAGCATGCAGAGCTGTATAGTTTTCATTTGAGGACAGAGATTTTGGTAGCTGTTATGGTTTGTGTCTAGTTGTCCCCGCCAAAGCCTCATGTAGTCATGGGGTGAGTACTTCTAGAGTTTGAGATTAACTCATGATCCACTGGGATTATGGGCCTTACTACTGCCGGGATTATGAGTGTGAGTGCTACACCCAGCCTGGGGCAGATAGCCTGAATCCAACATAAGAAAGACAGAGAGACAGACTTTCTGTATCCATTGTTGCTACTACTTCTCCATTGTGCTCTCTTGCTCTTTGCTGCTGTCATAAAAGGTTGCTCTGTCATATGCCACTCTGCCTTGGAGCCACCTGAGTATAGACTGAAACCTTCAGTAACTGTGAGCTAAATAAACTTTTTCTTCCTTCATTTTGGGTGTCGGGTATTTGTCCCAGCAATTAGAGGAGAGTAACTGAGACTCTTCTCTCAAGAAGGACTGCTCAAGAAGGACTGACTAGGAAATTGTTTCTCAGGATTCATTTTATAATGCTTAGCCATCCAGGCACTCAAAGGCCTCTGTAGCTATGACACAAAAGGGCCTACCTACTGCTCAAGTTGGTAGCATATCTTGGGTCATCTGTGTGGTGCTGATTTTTCACACATCCCAAATGCAGGATCTTGGGGCTGAGGAAGGCTTCTACTAAGATTTCAAAAGAAGGTCTGGAAGGTCAGAGAATGTGCTTTCAGAAGGCAGTAGATTAATCTATTTATTTATTTTTTAAATTAATTTTGAGAAACAAGTAGCAATGACACAGTTTCAAAACCAATTAGTAGGACAGTTTCAATAATTACTGCATTGCATATTGTTGTCTTCATAGTGGTTATTCATAGCACAAGATGCAGACATGACATCCTGTCCAAACACTATTAGTACAAATCTTTCTTATTGAATTAAGAGAAAGTAGTTGCATATCTATCCTAACTACTTTGTACATACAGACACAAAATGCTCCTTCATTTGTATCCCCCTTTTTTGGTTAAGTTTTGTCAGAGATGAATATTCCATTGCCATTCAAATATTGTAGGTGCATGAATTCAGCAAAATAATCCAATATAGTCCAGTAGTCCCAAATGGTAGTGGGTTATCCACAGGACTGGCAATGTTAGAAGTTGTTAACTTGAGCCTTCTATAGCTCAGCATATTAATATGACTACTTTTTATATCTTGTTTTTGTACTTTTCTGCTGAATGGTTAAGACCAAGGTAAAGCAAGACCTATATAACAAGAAATGAAACTTCTTTATCTGATAAGGTCAGTCAAATCCCCTCAGGATTTATCCTGAAACCCTGTACTGCAGTTTGTAGATCTTTTCTCAGTGTCAGTCATGTGAATGAGTCATGGCTATTGCTTAAACAATTTGCTCTCTGTGAAAGCCTGAGAGAATATTGTTTCTCCATGTCACTCTCCTTAGGCACACTCTACATCATCAATCACTTTCCTCTGTGGCCCCATAATCTCCTTGATCAGAAAATTTGGGACAAAACTGAGTTACATAATGTTACAGTACAGGTTCTCCTATGTCCTGAGTCCTCACTGACCTTGTAAGGCTAGGGTCAAAATGTTGTCTGTCCTTGCAGCCCTTCTTTTTCTCTAATTTTTGGTCTGCAAACTTAAATTGTAACCCTCCAGAAGAGAAGCTTAATGATATTATAACCCTATAATGTAGGCAGTTGAGCTTAACCTCACTAGCTATCTGAATATCAAACATCTTAGACATAACATGAAACAGGTATTTTCCATCACATATTGATATATTAAACTTTAAATCCCTATAGAATGTGAAGAAAAAAATAAATAAGAAAGTAGATTAATCTCTAACAGTGAAGCTGATGGTGTTGTGGATCCCCTAGGAAATTATAGATGCTAGGAATGTGGGTTGTCTCCTGATGAAAGGTACAGGCAGAGAGGGAGCCAACCTAAGAGAGAGGCCAAGTGGGCAGCAATTGACAATGTCATAGCGGTAGGGCTACCCAGGCCCTTTGGATCTCACAACTCAGCTGTAACTTGCCCGTGAAAGGTGGATTAGTATGGAACCACAAGATTTAATGTTTTCCCTGTTTGATTTTGGTCTTGCTTGCTCTGCATGTTGGAAATATTTAAATTTCATTTTGATTTTTACCAGGACTTACAACTAAAAGTTCACTTTGAGTTTTACAGCAGACTTTGAACTTATATTTTTCAGCAGTACTGGAACTGCTAAAACTGTGGTGAACTGTTAGGGATGGGCTAAAATGGACATGCACCTTTTGTGATCTAGGGGTAGGTTATTTTGAGTTAGATCTAAAACACTCACTAAAGGTCTCATGTGCTTGGAAAATGATTGTATTATGGGGGTATTATGTGTAGATTCGTCCACTGATAAATTCAGTAGCTGGGTATGCAGTTAGGAGGTTGGAAGTGGGTCAGTGTAGATGTGACCTGGAAGAGCACATTGCTGTTCTTGTCTCTTTTTCAGTCTCTTTTTTCTCTCTCTGCCTTCTGGCTGCTGTAGGTTGAGTGCCTTCACTCTCCTGTGCCTCTTTGCCATGTCATTTCTGCCTGGAGTCTACTAACCTTGTACTGAAATCATAAGCCAAAATAAACCTCCTCTGCTTTACACCATGGGTATCAGGTATTTTGTTCCCAACTATGGGCCAGTGTCTAATACAAGGCATTAGAAACTTTTGATTGGTAACCACGGATATAGGAGAACTTCATACTACTGACCTGCTGGCTCTAGGAACATTTTTTAAAAATGCTGTAAGGCTTTTTCTAGATTATCATTTTTCATATGTCCTAGAAACACTGCCTTGGCAAGAAACTTTAGCTGTTCACATGGGAAGTGCTAGAATTGAATGTATAGTAAAGGTCTCATCCTGTCAGTGGTATTGTGGACTCAAGTCTGGTAAAGGGCTTGTCCCATTGTGTCTTATACAGGATATGGCTTTCCTGGTCCTTGAGGGGTCGCATAGGACAGAAAGTCAAATTCTCTTTGTGGTTCTCTATGTGCAAGGTCCCACAGCTATGCTTCCAAAGGGTTCGGAATAGTGGCGTGGCCAAAATCTTTATACACTCAAAACAAAACAATAACAAAACAAAGCAGACAGAAAGCCCCTGGCAACGCAATTTGAGAATAAGCTACTTTCAATCCAACTGCCAAGTTACCTTTCGCTTGTGATAAACTGAATAATCCAAGTCATTAACCCAGAAGAGGGTATCTTTGAAGGGCAGGCCTCTCTTCTCTTGAAAAGCTTTGAAAAGAATTTAAATGAATTCTTGTCTGACAGGAATTTATAAACTGTGATTACTTTCAGTCAGAGCAAATTATCTGATGCTTTAGTGTGACTGCAAGAAGCTTGGGGATTGGATAGGGAAGGCTTTGTTGATTACAAATTTATGCAAGTGTATGAGCCTCTGTGTGTGTGTGTGTGTGTGTGTGTGTGTGTGCGTGCATGCATGCATGCACGTGCACATACATGCACATATGCACGTGTGGTTGTGTGCATATATTTGTCAGAGCTCATGGTAGCCATGTGGTTTGAGCTATGGATGATTTCAATTATTTTTGTGTTCAGGATATAGGGAGACGGCTGCAGGGGTGGATCTCTCTTATCCATTTGCCGTGTTGTTTTAATACACAAAAAATATCTCTATGCAGGATTCCAGCACCTCCTTAGATTGCACTGCACTTTCCTTTCTGCACTGGACAGCTGCGTGTGAAAACTGGCTGAACCCGTTTAGTCTTGGATATTTCTTTTAAAAGCTCTTAGGTGAACACTAGTTTAATAGTTCTAAACTGTGTTACATTTTTTCTTAGGGAAAAATGCAGTTGAATTTGGGCACAGTGGAGGCATTTAGAAAAGAGTCATAAAAGTGACAAAAATGTAATTAAAGGAGGGAGTGACAAAAAATGATAAAAGGAGGGAAGTTAAGAGCTTACCAACAATGATGTGGGAAGAGCAGAGGAGGGGAATGTTGCACTGTTGCAGAAGAAAGAGGGGCAGTTTCAAGGCTTAGCCTTCTTTTGGGTCATGAACAATGTACGAATCTAATCAGGACTCTGAACTGTCTCCATGAAGCAAGGCCAGGCTTGCCTACTATTGGGCTGTCTTCTTCTCTTTCCTTAATCTCCATACATTTGGTGTTAGCATTGAAATCTAGAATTACCAGATCTTTTAAGAGAAGTTAGAGATGTATATGTTATACTGAACTCCCCGTAAAAACTCCAGCTCTGCCCCAATTAGATACTCCTCTGGGCCAAGGACCATCAGGAAGAAGGAAAACGGATGCACCTTGAGAACGTAGTGCTGAGTGAAACATGTTGGATACTCAGGCTTAAATGTGATATGGTCCCTCTTGCACGAGAAGCACAAGATGTAAATATAGCGCAAAGTAAAGGATAGATAGGAAATAGGGAGATAGATGGTTTGAAAAGGGCAAGGTGACTGAGAGATGTGAGGCAGAAGGAGGAAAGGGGGAGGAGATGAAGAAAGGATTGAGATGCTCTGTGTACACACAGACTCCCCCCCGGGAGTGCGATCAGTGCACATTGCTGACATGTACTAATGAAAAATAAAAATTGAAAAAGAGGAACGCTGATGAAAGCTGCATATAATGGCTGGCACGTGTGAAAGGAGACCTTGTCTGGCCTGTCAAGAATCCATACCAATTAGGGGGCAGTAGAGAGAGAGTATGTGTGTTACTGATCCCCAACAGTCTGTGGTCTTCTTGGGAAAATGTCTTTAAATCAAGTACAAAAACAGCAGTTATGAAGAGCACATGAAGATGTAGAAGGTGCCGTGAGAGAAGGAGCTTGGGAGTAGACAG